GATAATGACTGGAGTGGATACAGCGGTTTCTCAGCATCCCCTCACAAACCCTAGCAATTCCCTTCAGGAAAGTCAGGAGGGAAAAGACCCTTCTTGCACCAGCTCAGTCAAGTGCACGTGTGATGCCTCAGCTCTTCATTCCCTCTGTTCATTCCCAACTTCTCTTCCCAGCAATGAAGGAAGAAGAGTTTTGTCTTTCACCTTCTCACTCTTACCTTGGAATTTTCAGCTCTGGGATGGTGTCTCTGAGCAAACGACCTCCTTCCTCACTGCCATGGGCAGCACAGGGAGCCAGCCAGTGATGGAATTCCAGTGATACTTGGTGGCTGTTGGACAGGGCAGTGCAGGCAGGGCCAGTGAGGGCTGCTCTGTTGGAGCAGGTGCAGCTGGAAGCACATGGAGAGGGTTTCAAAGATGCCGTGGTCAAACACTGGGCAGAACTGAGCAGGAAAGAAGCTGTTTTCTGCTGAAACTATGTCTCCAGTGTGACATCCCAGTGGCCTCTGAAGATGTTTGTCTCTCTTTGCACAAATGGCAGGGATGTCTCAGTTAAGCGCCTCCTCCAGTGTTCCATAGAATCATGGAATTCCATGGTTTCCATGAGGTTGGAAAAGCCCTCTAAGATCATGGAGTGAACACTGCCCTGTTCACTGCTAACCCATGTCCCAGGTGCCACATCCACATGTTTTTTAAAGACTTCCAGGGATGCTGACTCCACCACTGCCCTGGGCAGCTGTGCCAGGGCCTGACCAGCCCTTCACGGAAGAAATTTTCCTGTTATCCAACCTGACCCTCCCCTTGAGGCTGTTTCCTCCTGTCCCTGTTCCCTGGGAGCAGAGCGAGCCCCCCCGCCCCAGCTTCCCCCTCCTGTCAGGAGTTGTGCAGAGCCAGAAGGTCCCCCCTGAGCCTCCTTTTCTCCAGGCTGAGCCCTTTCCCAGCTCCCTCAGCCACCCCTGCTGCTCCAGACCCTGCCCGAGCTTCATCGTTCTTCTCCTAGAAGGCTTTTTCTACCTTAATGGTGCTGTCATTCCATGATTCCAGGTTACTGCAGGGTGGCTCTGCTCAGTGCTGACAGACCCTCTCATCTGGCACTTTGCTTTTTTTAAAACTCATACAGACAGTCACAGACTGAACCAATCCATTGCTGTATCCATCACAGGAAAGTCATAAATACAATAAACCTCAGGGTTTCCCCCTTTTTTGCTGTGTATGCTTAAGGTGATTCCTTTGTGGAAGCATGCCCCTGTTCCCCCTGCATATGGAAATTCTCATTTCTTAGAAGGAAAAAGGACAGAAGTGGTTTTTCCTCTTGCTGCAAGTGCCCTGGCTGGCTCAGGGACCTGCCTGGATTCCATGTCACCTTGCCCAGCCACATGATGTTTCCCAGCACTGTTCAAATCCATTAGCAGGTGCGTTTGCTGAAGTAAATTCAGGCTTTCTGAGGAGTGGATTACTTGCCCAGCCATTTGTCATCATATCAAAAGTCATCACTGAAAGGGATTAGCATGAAGTGCGCAAATAACTTTCAAAAAGAGCCTTGTTCATCACTGTAATTCCCTTCTCTTCCTTCTCCCTTCAGGGGAGGTTGGGTCATTGGGCCAGGATTCAAAAGGAGCTGTCATGCTGCCGAGGGGTTTAGGAAACAAATGTTGAAAGCTCAGCTAACAAAGCACTATGGAGAGACCAGCATGTGTGTGGCTGAAAATGGGAAATCCTTTGTATCCCAGGCTGGTTTGTGTGGGAAGGGACCATCAAAGTTTGTCCCACCCTCTGCCATGGGCAGGGTCACCTTCCACTAGCCCAGGTTGCTCCAAGCCCTGTCCAGCCTGGCCTTGGACACTTCCAGCAATCCAGGGGCAGCTATGCCCAGTTTCTCAGAGCAAACTGTGCCAGGACCTCACCATCCTCACAGGGAAGGATTTCTTCCCGCTGTCACAAGTAACCCTGCCCTCTGCCAGTGATAAGCCATTCTTCCCTGTTCCATCATTCCAGATCCTTGTCCAAAGTCACTCTCCAGCTCTCCTGAAGCCCCTTCAGGCACAGGAGGGGACTCTAAGGTCTCCCCAGAGCCTTCTTTCCTCCGGGTGAACATCCCCAGCTCTCCCAGCCTGACTCCAGAGCAGAGGGGATCTAGGCCTTGGAGCATCTCCATGACTTCCTCTGAGCTCACTCCAGCAGCTCCACATCCTTCCCGAGCTGGAAGCCCAGGGCTGGGGCAGCTCTGCAGGTGGGGTCTCAGCTGAGCAGGACAGAGGGGGAGAATCTCCCCCTCCCCTGCATGAGCCCAGCATGTGGTTGGATTTATGGTCTGTCTTTCTAACAGCCCTCTGCTGGAGGCCATCTGTACAGAAACTGTCCCAACTTGCTGCCTTCAGGTTCCGTACAGAGCACGGCCTGAGCCAGCTGTTTGGACAAGAGGGCTGTGTCCCTGTCACAACATCAGGCAGCTGCCAGGCATTGAGTGGCATGAGATGCTTCCCAGACAGCATCCAACATGGCTTGTAGAGGGGCAGCAGGGCTTAGCCGTGGTGGAAATGCATCTGTTAGCTTCCTTGGGAGGTTTCTCACCTGTAAGATGAAAAGAAGAAAGAGATTTTATTAGAGCAAATAAAATAGTACCAGGCTGGACCCACTGCTGTGGTGGCTCAGGGCATGTGGCTCGGGGCCTTTGGTTGTGGTGTCTTCAGGGTGGGCTATGTCTTGGTTTGAAAAGCCAGGTGTCTGCTAAGGAAGGCAGGAGCCTCCTGTGAAATGGAAAATGTAAAGCCCCTCCCTCTGAATTATTATAGTTTTGAAACTAAGAGACTCTCAGGCAAAGACATGGGAGCAGAAAGAACAATTCTTTACTAGGAAAATTAAAAATACAAATAAAATAGTACCAAAAAAAACCCCACTGACAGAGACATCATATGACCTGACCCCCTGTGGGTCAGGGTGGTGGCACAGTCCCATCCCAGGGTGGCTCAGCCCTCCTGCAGTGCCAGCTGTGCTTCTGCTGGAGCAGGGATCCTGCCTAAGACAGGTTGGCACTAGACCTGCCCAAGAGCCTGGCTGAGGATGGCCCTGTGAGCAGAACTGGAGGGAGAATGTGCTAATTCATAGCAGGGTTTCTTTGTCCTTTTGATCTCTGCAGGTAGCAGCTTTGGCTGAGCTGTGGTCCCTCCTCAAGGCTCCACGGGCAGGCTCTGGGCCGTTCATTTTCTTGGTGCTGGTGCTCACAGCACAGTGTGTCAGAGGCTGTGCTGCAGAGCCCACGCACTGCAGACTCCCCAGGCACCTTCCTGTCCTCAATCAGGATGCCAAATGAGTGTCACATCAGGCTGGCATGAATTAAAAACTCAGCAGCCAGGTGCAGGTAACGGGTTGCCGTGTCCCGGCAAGCAGCGGGCAGGGCTGGGCACGGGGCAGGATGCTCTGGGACCTGCCTCTGCTCCTGTGGCTTGGAGTGGAGGGGTGGCTGGGTCACTTGTCCACCGTCCCCTGTGTAATGGGTGACTTCATCCCTCTCTCCATGGGGTGTACTCCCAGATCCCTGCCCAGGATCAGAGGCACTGTCTGGGTGCCAGGCAGGAGCGGGTGGTCTGAAGTCTTCAAACACCAGGGTGCCACACACAGCAAATCTGCCTCCCAGTAAGGCCTTAGCACTGGATTTACTGGTGTAGCTGACAGCACAAGCAGTGCAAGCATGTCTGGCCACAAAAAGCCTGACCTCTCATCTGCTCTGTGATGTCCTTTGTGTTGACTCTGTTAAAAAGAGCCGAGGGAATTGGCTGGAAGTGCTTGTGGGAGGTTTGTGCTCACTCAGAACAATGATGCTACTGATAAACCAGCAGAGGAATGCTGGGCTCAACTTCCAGTTCAAGGGACCATGAAGAGTTGGAATGCACCTGAGTAAATGTCTGTCAGACAGAAACCTCGTGTCAGTGTGGCATGTCCTGCAGGATAGTGATGCTGTCACCACTGGATTTATGCAACTGTAGGAAGGAACTGTTCAATACAGAAAATTGCATTGAAATGGTGGTTTACCACATCAAGCCTCTGTAGGATGTTCATAGAATCACGGAATTATTAAGTTGGAGAAGCCTTCTAAGATCATTGAGCCCAAACTTTCCCCCAGTGTTGCCATGTTCACCATTAAACCATGTCCCCAGGTGTTACATCTGTAGATTTTTTTTAATATTTCCAGGGAGTGTGACCACCACTGCCCTGGGCAACCTGTGCCAGGGCCTGACCACCCTTTCAAAGAGGAAATTTTCCCTGATATGCATCTAGCCTGAACCTCCCCTGACATAACTTGAGGCCTTTCCTTGTGTCCTGTTCCTTGTTCCCTGGGCCCAGAGCCAGGTACCCCCTTGTATGTGCTGAGCCACTTTCCCAGCTCCAATGTCCAAAGGCAGCCGAGGACAGCACAGCAGAGGTTTGGGTGTTGATGGGGAAGGAAGAACCCAACAGAGGCTCCAAACACCCTGGTGTAAGAGTCTTCTCCCTCCCTCCTGCAGCTGCTGCTGTGTCTCTGTCTGCCACTGTGAAGCCTTTCTCCAAGGGGAGCTGCTTGCCCATGGAGAGAAGAGTGTTTGTGATTTTCTCAAGTTCAGCACAAACACTGGGAGATCCCTGTGTCTGTTAATCCCCCTCACCCACATCACACAGCACAGTGATCGTAGTCAGGAAGAATAACTTCACTGGAAAAGGGAAACAATAGATTAGTTTGGATTTCAAGGAAGGCATTTCAATTCTGGAAATAAGGATTTGAACAGCAAGGTTCAGGATTTCTTAGATGAGTGAAATAAGTGCTTCAGAGGAGCTGAAGCAGCTGAAGATTCAGGCAAAGATTGGAGATTGCCAGTTTGAGCTGGGAAATCTCTGTGTAACCTGGCATGAGCTGGGTGCTGGTATCTGAGGTGGGAAATTGCTGCTACCTGGAAGCTCTGCAGTTCTTGAATTGAATTATTAATTCTCATTATTAATTACCTTTTGCTTTCTTTTTTTTTTCCCTTCAGCATGAAAGACTTTCCAGGTAAGAATTTTTTTTCCTGTGTAATATTTATTGGTAGCATGTTTTTGTATGCCTTTGAGGATTCCCTGTGATTCAAATCTTCAAATCCAGTCTGGTACTGGTCCTTTTCTGAGCTTAGCTGGGCACCTGTTTGCTTCTATTCTTCACTCCCCAAATTACTTACCTCAGTGCCCTCTTAGAAATGGAGCTGGTTCCCACCAGGGAGGTGAGAGCTTTGTGGGAAGTCAGTGCCCATGGGAGGCCGGGTTGGTACCCCGGGATTTTTTCCAGTTGTTGTAGTGGTGGTGGCTGCCAGGTTCTGCAGCAATCCCCAGGGCCAAGTGGAGGGCGCTCCCACAGACCCCAGAGCCCTGGCTCAGCTGGGTCTGCCACTCCCTCCAGTCCCATCCAGCTGGGCTCTCTGCTGGCTGCTCCAAGTTACCACAGCCCCACAGTGCAGGATCTTGCTCCTGTTTCAGGTTGGAGGCAGCCACGAACCCCACCCCGAGTGACTCGTCCTACAGCGACCGCGCCGCCGGCCGCGCCAGTGCCTACAGCCGCAGGGAGAACCGGCTCGCCGCGCTCAGCAGCCGCGCAGAGGAGGAGAGCAACAGGGACTACAAGAAAGTAGGGCTTTCGAACTGATCCTTGTCATTGCACACGCTGCAGAACCTGCCTGTTGCTGCAGAAACCGGCCCCAAGAAGGGAAGAAGGAGAAGACGTTTATGTTCATTTTCTCTGTTTCAAAGAATCCAGTGGTTTGGGTTGGAAGGGACCTTAAAGCTCATCCCATTCCACCCCTGTCATGGGCAGGGACACTTTGCACTATCCCAGGGTGCTCTAAGTCCTGTCCAGTCTGGACCTGGACATTTCCAGGAATGAGGCAGCCACAGCTTCTCTGGGCAACCTGTGCCAGGGTTTGACCACCCTGTGAGTAAAGAATTACCTAAATTAAAACTGTCCCCTCTTGGCTGTGTTGAAACTCCCTACAAAATTCAACAGCTGTTTTCTTATTTCTAATTCATGAGTTACGAAAATATAAGTAAAGCATCCAAGTTGGTTTTGTTTTCCCTTCTCATCTGCTGATGTGTGAGAGCAAAGTGAACCCCTCAGCTCAGTGCTGAGGGCACGTGTCTGCTCAGAGCAGCCTGACAGGATGGGGTTAATTAACCAGGAGCAGCCTGGTTAATTGATGTCTTGTTTTGCATTTCAGTTATACGAGAGTGCCCTGTCTGAAAATCAAAAGCTGAAGTCAAAGCTGCAAGAAGCCCAGCTTGAGCTGGCTGATATCAAAGCAAAGTTGGAAAAAGCAGCCCAGGTAAGGGAAAATCCAGGTCCTGACTGGAGAAACTGAGAGCTGACCATGACAAACCAACACTTGTTCCAGAATGGGAAAGGGAGGGAAGCTCCTGAAAGGATGTTCTTGGGAGGGAAGGTGCCATAGAGGAAACAGAAATAAGCAAGTAATTTTGTAAATCAACATGTTGCATCCCAAGCAAGAGCATCTGTAGGCTGCCTTGGCCTTTGTGCAGCACCCTGTGAGTGCTCTCAGGTTTAATCACTTTCTATTTTTAATTTCCATAGCAGAAACAGGAGAAAACTTCTGACCGGTCCAGCATGCTGGAGATGGAGAAGAGGGTACGTGTGTCTGCTTTCTTCTGAGTCACAGCCTGTGCCTCGTGTTGCTGTGCAGGGCAGTCGTGTCTAGAAGGGACGTGTTAATTAAAAGATAAGTTGTATTTTTGCCTTGAGGAGCAGTGCACAATGATAATTGTGTTCTGACCTTTGCAGGGCCTGAGGCTCTGCTGCTCTCTTTGCACATCAGCTTCATTCTGATTCCTCTCTTTGGTTCTAAGCAGCTGAGGACCAACGGATTGTATCACACTGAGAGACTGTTGGTCTATTATGCTTAAAACATTATTGACCTTACAAATAAAGACTGGTTTGGGGTGGTGGGGGAACAAGGCAAAATCCTGGAAGGGCTGCTTTCAATCCCTTCTTTCCCCAGCCTTGATACCAAGGATTGCCCCAACCCAGGGAGAGGACCTTGAACTTGGCCTTGTTGAAGTCAGGGCAACGTCCTGTATAACTTCTCTTGAATTAGGATCACAACAGCCACAAATTCTATGAGTTAGAAAGTAAAAATATGTCCAGCTGTTTTCAGTGAAGATGCATTAACTGTTTCCAGGATGGCTCATGCATTTTGCACTTACGAATCCCTGATGAACCATGCTGTAGGCAAAAAGTGACCCAGAACTCATGATCCACAGCACACTCAGAAGCTGCCTTTTCCTCACTCTTTTCCTCATGGCTCTTTGCATTGGGCAAAGAAGCAGGGCAGAGAGTGTAAATCTTGTTCTTGATGTATTTCCCACTTCCCCCTTCTCAGAGCATGTCCCTGGAGTAGTTTGAGCCCCTTTATGTTGGGAAACTCACTGAAGGAGTCCACTTCTCCTCACCTTGGCACAGGTGTAGCTGAGGCCACTCACACAGCACAGTCTAATCCTCACTTTCTGAAATGCACTGAAAGCAGTCAGCTTTGCAGCCCTGGATTATCTGGGAGAAACAGGATTTCCAGGCAGGGAATTTCCTTGTTCTGTTTCCTGTTTGAGTGGCTGAGGGACTTTTCTCTTTGCCATCTTTAGTGGAGTATAAGTAAATCCATGACTTCACCTACAGAGCTCAAAATCACATTTCATCAGCAGCTCCTGAGAACTGGGATCACTGAAAATGGGGAATAATTTCATTAGGGATATGAATAGAGCTTGTGATCTGCCCAAACAGGCCCAGGTTATATCCCTGCTGGTTTGCCAGCTGCCCTCTCCCATCTGATCAGCTCCTGGTTGTAACCTCTGCCTTGCATTCCCCTCTTCAGGGAATGCTGCTACAGAAACACAAGACTCCTATTTTTCTTTAAAAGAAAATATACTGTAAATTTTTCTTCCAAATCCTTGTGACCTTCTTTGTCATGAATCCTTGTAAACAGGAGAAGCGAGCCTTGGAGCGGAAACTCTCTGAAATGGAAGAGGAAATGAAGGTAAGAAATAATCTTCACTGTGTCTATTCCATTTTATATGCTTTGTATTGATGTCTTTGGGGATTGTCACCCAGGAGGAGGATGGTAAAGGTGTCCATGGGAAGAATCTCATTTTCCTTTCTGCAGTCATATCTTGCTTTAATGGCCCTGTTCTCCAAACATGAAATGCTAATAAACTGTCCTGGTTCTCATTCATCTGATTGCTCCTATGTTTGATTTGTTCTGCTATTTGATCCGAGAATGGTGAAAGCTGTTCTCCTTAAATGCCTTCCCAAACTAACTTTTTGTGGCATCGCTGAGTTCCAGTGTGCTGACCCCCTGTGCTCTGACTAGTCTGCAGCCCAAGTTAAGCCCCTGAGGTTCTCTCCGGATGGGTAAGAAGACAAAGCTGGCTTTTGAGCTCACGCACACTGGCCAGGATAAAGCACAGAGTGGTTGTGTTCCTATACTCCCTTCCCAAAGCATGGCACTGGGAGGCCACGGCAGCCTGGGATAATTCCAGCAAACAGGAATTTGCTTCCTGATGGGATGTGCAGCATGGCTTGCTGTCACGAGCCATGGCCACTGGTGTTCCAGCACGTTCTTGCTCCCATGGTGTGGCTTCCAGGACGGCTGTGTCTGTGAGGGGAGCCCTGCAGGGCCTGGCTGCCCACACACCCCTGAAGCCTCTCCCGGCTGGGCAGCGCTGCATCACGTTCTCTCTGCTGAATGTCAGTGCTCATGTTCACAGAGTGTCCCCTTTGCTCTGCCCCGTGCTTTCCTTCCCTTTCAACATGAGCAGGTGGGACCAAGCTGCTCTCAGAAGGAAGGACCCACCTGAGAGCTCTCCCTGCACCACGCCCTGACAGAAACGACTTCCTGCACCCTGGAGGAGGTTCCAGCTCTGTTTCTGTTTGAAGCTTTTGTTTCTACCAAGCACATAACTTTGAAAGGCTTGTGCTGCATCTTCTGCTGCAATGAGTAGCACAGTGATATGGTGGATTCTTGCTGTAAAGGCTCTTGTTCTCTTGGAGAGGAGAAAATAAGTGTGGATGTGTGAGCCAGGAGGAGAAGGAGAAAGGATTGAATATGTCTAAATTCCAAACTCTTTGCTCAATGAGCAGGTAGGAACCTTTAACTGCACAGAGACTTTCCTGTAATTACAGAATTGTGGTCTTCAAGAGAGATACAGGCATGAGCAGACTGTGTTGGTCCTTCAGCTCTGCAGATCACTGCAAGCCTGCAACTTCAGCCCTTGGAGTAAGGAGACTAGGTGGTGGCCTCTAGTGGCCTCAGTTTGGAAGCATAGTGCTCTGGAAAGCACTTAATGAGGGAAGGTGCCTGCAGGGTCTGTTGGACACAGCCAGAGCACCTCCAGTTCAGGTGGTCTGGAGCTGCAGAGCCATGGAAGCCAAGGGAGTGCAGGAGAAGCGCTGCTGGTGGTTGGACATATTCTCACCCTGCCTCGAGAGACATGAGCTGAAGGAACCTGTGGTCCGGCTGAAAATGAGCTTCAGGTCCTTGAGAGGTGCTGACTCTGCTCTCTGCCTGTTCTTGCTGTGTGGGACAACCAAAGTGGCCTTTTGTTAGTAGAACAAATAGACAAGAATTTGGAAAATCTCTCTTCTGAGGTGCTATATTTTTATTAGTTTCTGCAAAACCTTAAGCATGTAGTGAGTACCTAAGGGCACTGTGACATGTCTTTGTTTGACATCTACTCCAAAAAAAGGAATATGAAATCTCTTAAGAAAGAAGGAATTGGACCTTTCCAAAAGGAAACTGTTGTGTCCACTTTCATGGTGCCGTGAAGTGGGAGAAACAGCCCTGCTGTGTTTGCCTGGAGGGAGATAACATCTGCAGAGCATCCCTAATAGTCACTAGTGTGGGATTGAGCCAGGAAAATCTACTAATTCTGGCTGGACTTTCATTCTTGCTCCTTGCACTACCTGAGTAGCTGTTGTGCAGTCAGAAGTAATAAGTAAGGAATTGTGAAGGAAAAGACAAATCCACCAATTTCCTTTAATGTGGAAAGCAGCAAGTAGAAAGTACCAAACCTCTCAGTTGATTAGGTCTCAGGTTGGTTTTGGGAATTCTTCACACTAATCTTTGAATCCAGCAAGACTCACATCCAGCTGTTGGATCCAGTGGTGTCTATGTCCAGTTGTGCACATGAGATGTCCTGCCCAGGGCTGTCCTCTCCTTGCAGCTGACTTCTGAGGAAGAGGAGACAGAGGTGACAGAAACATGCAGTACGCTGTGTTTGAGGGAATCAGCTTTGTTCCTGTATGGAGTGTGACCCCTTGTACCAAAGCCATAGAGAAGTGAAGAGGAACAAGACAGGCTTGATAACTTCAAGAACCTTGGTGGCAGAGCTGCTCCACAGAGCTGCTCCTCAGACCTGCTCTTGCAAAGTTGACAGAGCAGTGCAGCATTTCCCTGAGTAACTGCACAATTTAACTGGAGATCCAGAACCTTGGCCGAGGCAGGAGAAAGAAAATTAACATTTGCACTGAGCTGAATTCAATGCCAAGTGCCCGAGGTCCCAACTTAACACAGCAATTGTTCTTGAAGGTCACAGAAGCTCCTTTATTCCATAGCAGTGCTGCAGCTCCTGGCTTCAGCCATCGTGCAGGCTCTGGGCATTTTTATTTAGTGTTGCAGGCACAAAATCTGTTAATTGAAGGCAGGTACAGAGAACTGAGAAACCTGCTTTTGCTAAGCCAAGTATCAAGCAGAGTGATAAGCAATCACAGCGGTATCATCCAGATCCTGCTCTTTGCCCTTGGCTTCAGTCCTAGCTTCCCAGCCTTTGCTGGATTTGGTGCATAAACAGGAGCCTGGCCTACCTGCAGCACACACACGTTTTTACATAAATGATCCTTTCTGTGGGCTGTGCAGCATGTGGAGGCTGGCAGGGGCTGATGGAACCATGCTGAGGTTCTGTGCTGTGCTGGTGTGGAAAAACAAAGGTGGTCTCTGAAATGATCACAGTCCTTTCCACCTCACATAGCACGGTGCCCCTACTATGTATGTTAGATGCTTTCTGCCAGCTCTGAGCCATGTTATAAAACAGAGGGTCTTTATTATCTGTGTATCATAAAATCATGGAATATCCTGAATTGAAAGGGACCCACAGTCCAACCCCTGCCCTGCACAGACACCTCAACAATCCCACCCTGTGCCTCCCTGAGAGCACTGTCCAAATGCTCCTGGAGCTCTGACAGCCTTGGGACTATGATCATTCTCTGGGGAGCCTGAGCAGTGCCCAGCACCATCTGGGGAAAGAATCTTTCCTGATATCCAGTCTGAATCTCCCCTGACACAGCTCCAGCCCCTCCCTGGGGTCCTGTCCCTGCTCACAGAGAGCAGAAATTGGAGCTGCTCCTTGGGAGGAGCTGCAGCCCCCACTGAGTTTTGACCTCAGGCTCCTCTTCTCCAGGGTGAACAGACCAAGTATCCTCAACCGTTTTTGGTGCCATCAAAAGAAGTGACTATTCCAGTACAACCATCTTCCAGCAGCTCCTGGTGTGATGTATCACAGGACAGCTGTGCCATGTCTGTCTGTCCTCAATAAGCACAGTGCCAGGCAGTGAATCTTGGGCTGTGAAGGGATGGATGGGTGGATGGATGGATGGATGGATGGATGGATGGATGGATGGATGGATAGATGGGATATGGTGAGCAGGGATCTCACTGCTGAGGTGTCACTGCAGCTTTCCTGCAGTTTGTTTGGTGTAGCTCTGTCTTGGGATCTGTTGATTATCCAGGGTCAGAACTGTCTTTGTGTGTCCCAGGAGCTGCTCTGTCAGTTCGATAATCTCAGAGGCTCAAACCCCATCCTTTGCTGCCTCCCTGCCTTCTTGTCTTGCTTACCTTGGTTTAGCAAAGCTTTTTAAAGAGGTGTCTTCATTCTGTCATGGAGACTAAATGTAGTGCTTTTGGGGAGCTAAGAATGGAGCTGATGGTTGAGGGTACAAAGGGCTTCAGTTTTGTACAGGAATGCGCCCTTGGACAAAATGTGCTGAGACACAGCAGATTCCTTGCCAGCTGCAGTCAGCTCTGGGTCATACAGAATCCCAGACTGGTTTGGGTTTGAAGGTGCCCTTCTTATTCCACCTCTTGACATGGGCAGAGACACCTTCCACCATCCCAGGTTGCTCCAAGCCCTGTCCAACCTGGCCTTGGACACTGCCAGGGATGGGGCAGCCACAGCTTCTCTGGGCAACCTGAGTGGTGCAGGCTGGATGGATGGTCACTGTCTGTGTCACAGTAGATTCTTTCATGTTGCTCCTTGTTCAGGACAGACAGCACTTCCCTTTGAGTACTTTCTGCTAATGAAAAGGTAGAAAGGAACCCTCTTCCCCATAGACCCTTCCCTCTGTCTTCTTCTGCCACTAAGTGGACATGGGGAGGAATACGGTGCTTTGTGGGACTGCTTTGGTTTTGGGCTGGGATTTTGTCACTTGAATTTACAACTCTTCTTGTGGATGTTTCCTGTCTGCCCCTGCCCAGTGCTGGGGCTCCCTCCATCATGCAGGATGGGTTCTTGCTCACGAGGGGTTCTTGTTTTCTTGTGGCCCAGCTGCCCAACCTCTGAGGAGGAAGGAGGGCAGGGATGCTGCTCAGAAAGCAGCTCTGCAGCTCTTGGCATCTCCTGGACCTGCAGTGGTGTAAATGTCCAGCACATGAATTCACCTTGGCATTACTGGGAACAGTGTCATCCTTGTGGCACTGGGGTGTCTGCATGGCTTGTACCATTTCCCTGTTCTGCTTCCTCATGGCTCTTCTGTTCCCAACCTCCCATTGTTGCTGTACCTGTGCAAGCCCCAGTTTGTACCCATGTCCAGTTTGTACCTGTGCCCAGTTTGTTCCTGTGCAAGCCCCAGTTTGTACCCACGCACAATTTGTACCCATTCCCAGTTTGTTCCTGTGCAAGCCCCAGTGTGGGGCTTGATCTCTGCACTGTCCTGTGCCCCTCATTGCCTTTGTCACCAGGAATGCCCTCCTGGCACATCCCCACTGTGGGAGATGCTCTCATTTACACTCCTCTTCCTAAAATATGCAGTTTGAGGTTCAGACTTGTCCCCTCTGAAGGTCAGAGATAAATTGAGCCCTGAGACAGGGAAGAGTTGAATCTGGGCAGGGATGAGAAACCAAACCCCAGAGGTTCTGGCAGGACTGAGCCTGAGCAGACCCAGGAGCATCACTCAAGGATGAGAGACACAAGCAGACACAGTACCTTGGTGTCTTGGTGATCTGCTGTGGGACAGTGACACTTTCAGGTGCTTCAGTCTTTGGGATCTTCCAGGAAGCTCTGATTGCTCTTTGCTCCAAACAGCTGCTTTGGCTTTTAGAGATACATGAAGAAAAGGAGTTTTAAAGAAATTCTCAGTTCCCAGCAGTGCTTTCAGAGCCTGTCTAGGTGTTAAGTCACTGGTGATAGGTCTCACAGCAGTTCCCAAGTCCCTGGGCTGTCTGGGTAAACTGGAATACAATCCTGCTTTGTAGTGAGAAATCCCTGTATTTGACCTTTTTTAAGACTTTGGGGGCCTCTGGAGAAAGGGCCGATTCCAAAAATATCCTTGGTGTGTTGTCAGGCTTTCCCCATCCACACTGCTACTAATTTCTTTTATTCTCTTTTTTTCTTTCACTGCCTCTGGACTAAACTCCCATTTCTGTGCCCATTCGTTTCCATGATGTTCTCTCTGTATTTCTCTGTCCACTCCTCTCACTCTCTGCAGAATCTCCACCAGCTCAAACAGATTCACACTCTGAGGCAGATGAATGAGCAGCTGCTGGCTGAGAACAGGGCTCTGACCCGGGTCGTAGCCAGACTTTCTCTGCCCTCCAAGCCCTCGGAATCAGAGGAGCTGTAGCTGCTTTCCCTCCGGCTCATCTTGCCTCCCTCTTCCACTCTTCCAGGCAGGTCTCCGCTCCTGGCTGGGCGCTTCCCGCTCGCCTCTGCTCTCCAGGGTGCCTGGTGAAGCTTCTGGCTCAAAAGCTTGTGGCAGAGGATCTCTGAATTCCCAGAGCATGGTGCTGCTGCCACGGCAGGGCTTTGCTGGAGCTCTGCTCACCCCTGGCTCTTGCTCTGCTTGGCAGATGCTGCTGCCCTTGCCAGCTTAGCACTGGGGAATGGCTTTGGGGTGGCTTGGCAGTGTCAGCAGCTCCTTGCCTGGTACTTTGCCTTGAAACAGACCCACAGAATGGTTTGTGTTGGAAGGGGCGTTAAAGTTCATCTCATTCCACCCCCTACCATGGGCAGGGACACCTTCCACTAGACCAGGTCACTCCAAGCCCTGTCCAGCCTGGCCTTGGACACTTTAAAATAGGTGGTTTGTGCTACATGTCTGCTTATAATCTAATTATTTTTAATTGGACTTAGTTCAGGGAGAAGCTAGCACTCATCAAATCAGATTATCCAAAGTCAGGAAATTTTCAGGGATGTTGTGAAAAGCAAACATTTTAGACAGAAAGGGTATTTTTGGAAAAACTACAAAGTGAGCTGTCCTCAGCAGGTTTTCTTGGTCACTTAAACAAAAATGACAAGCTCTTTTCCTTATTTTAAACTGAAGTTTCTGAGTATGAGTCCACAGACTCAGCATTCCCCTGCCTCCTGTGGGCTGGCACAGGGTGGGGAATGCAGCAGGAGCCAGACCAGGAGTGCTCTGTGTTTTCATCTTCTGTTTTAAATCCAGGACAATTAATGGTGGAAACCCAAGGATGAGTCTTCCCTAAGCTTTGCCTTCACACATCACACAGTTAAATTTCATCTCTTCCTGCTACTTCATTGGTTCAATGCTAAAATAAAGCTGTAAATGCTCCTTTCTTGGGGGCCTGCCTGTCCTTTGCAGGTTAGTAGGGATAGTCATATCCCTTGAGACACAAGAAGTCATGTGCTCTTGTGGGCTGGAAGTGGCACCACAGAATAAAAACATCTATTCTTAGCACACAAATTATATCAAGGCTGATTAACCACAGAAACAAACTAACCAGGGGAATTGTGGCTTCCCCTTTCCAGGAGTCTCAGCTCAAGCCCACATGTGTGTCACAAGGGCCAGGAGAGTCGGGTGTTATATTGTGTGCCCTGGATTGTGCAGATGGTCAGGTGAAATGATCTCACAGCCATTCTGGTTTTAATCTGTGGAACTATCCTCCAACCTGACCCTGCCTCATTTCTTCTCATAAACCATGAGTTTAAGTCATTCTCCTTCCCCACATGCTTTGACATCTGAGAGGGAAAATTGGGCAAAATTATTTCCAGACAAAGAACTGATGTTTCACAACCTGCAAGTCACCTCTCCTCCTCCCAGGACATGCTCATGTTACCTCTGTCCTTCCATCCCCCTCTGCTCTGGCTGAGGCTCATGCTTCCCTCCTCACTTACAGGTTTGCAGTTCCCTGCCCGTGCCCAAGCTGGGGGAGAGCCATGGTTTGTGAGCTCTGCTGATTCATTTTCAGCTCTTTTAGTAGGTCTAACACAGGGTGTATGTGTAAACTGTGCCTCAGTGGTGGCTGTGGGCATCACAGCTGTGCAGTGGTGTCACTGGTTTAAGCTCTGCCAGAAGTACCATGCTCTGGCAGCAGTGCTTTTCAGAATCTCATTTTCTGAATGCACATGGTTTCTGAGGAGCTGTGTTCTGCAGTGCCCCAGGGACAGCCCTGCTGTCAGAGCAGCCTCCAGCCCAAACCGAGGTGACACTGACGCTGCATCATGGCCAGCCCTGCCAGTCCCTGGGGCTGGGCACACCCCTGCTCACCCTTCCTGTGAGACTTCCATAAAGCTGCTAGAAACTTCCAGCCTTTTCCCACGGGGCTCATTTCACCTGACTTGAGACTGGTCTGCTTCAAAGGGAGGAACGCCTGGGCTTGTATTGTCTGAGGCTGATGTGCAGCTTTCAGGAAGCCTCACTGGGCACTGGTGGAGCTGGGTTATGACCAGGAAACGTGTCCAGAGGCTCTTATTGCACGTGTGCTTACACTCCTTCATTTTCAAATGAGTGACAAGGTCGCACGAAGCTCCCCATGAGGCACAACCCTGTCAGGCTCCAGCTGAGCCCTGGGACTGGAGTGGTTCTCTCTTGCATCATTTCTGGGAGCTGTGACAGGTTCTCTCCACCAAAACAAGTGTCAGGACTTCACACGCCTATTGTCACAGCAATGGGCACTGCAGAGCCACCCCAGGCAGTGACAGGGGTCTGACAGGACTGACTGGTGGGGCTCTTGGGGCACTGGGAGGCACCGGTGTGAGTGGGAGGTGAAGCTCAGGGGGAAACAGAGGAGTGCAGAGCTATCAAGAGCTCTGCTGTACCTCTGAGCTGCTGATCACTTTGGTGATGCTGATGGCAGTGCCTCTTCTTTGGCCATGAGAAGTGGCACAAGGAGGCATGAGTGCTGTTCTGGTGACAGCCCAGCCATGGTGGTGCACCTGTCAGCCCAGCACATGGATTTACCCTTCCCACAATATCCCACCATGCAGCACCAGCCCCTCCTCCCTCTCTAAAAAACCTCTCACCTGAAACATCCACCAGCAGTGCCCACAGGGATGGAGTTGGGTGTGCTGGGGCCCACATGGCTTGGCCCAGCCGTGGAAGAAGGGAATTGCTCTGGTGGGAGCTGGAACTGCCCCAGGAGCTGCCCACACTCGGAGCTGGTCATCATGGAGGGACTGCAGGTGGAGGGGGCAGAACTTTGTGGTCAAAGCTGAAACACCAGGTTAGGAGGAAGGAGAAGATTTAATGCAGATTTTTAATTTGAGGGAATTCCTCCAAGATGCACCTTGGCAGACAGAAGTCGTGGCTGAGCTCATACAGGTGCCATATGTGTGATCCCACCCTGCCCTGGGTGCCCCTGCAGGCTTGGGGCTGGTCACTCTGTGATCTGCTGGCACTGTGCTGGGAGTGACCCCTTGTGTGTCACACCCCTGACAGGAGCAGGGGTCTCCCTCTGGTGCCCAGCGGTTGGGAACAGCCCAGGGAAGGTCACTGACTGCCCACAGGAAGCCAGCAGGGTTTATGCCAAGGGGAAATGCTGGAAGGGTCTTGTTGAAGCTATTTCTTCTCTGTTTCCAAAGGCTTTTGTCTGTTGCAACCTCAGCTGAGCACCCAGGAGGTACCTCCAGTGTCAGTGTGTTCTACCAGTCCTCTGGCCTCAGCACTTGGGACTGTATTACACATCTGTAGGGTCCCAGGGAGATTTGTGGGTATTCTAAAGAGATTTTGCAAGGTCCAGTCCTAAATGAAAATTCCAGACCTTTGGTTTCCCTTCTAGTCCTGGAAAAATGAAAAAAGCATATCCGAAAAACCAGCTTTACTTGTTTGCTGAGCTGTATTTAGCCTCTGGGCAGAGGTTTGGGGTGAAACAGCTCAGAAATGGTTCCTGCCCTGCTGGTCTGGTCCTGCCCTGCTGCTGGGGCTGTGGCCTTGCTTCGCACCAGGGCTCCCTGGTCAGTGCTGTGCTCGAGGTCCCTCTCACCCCTCACGCCTGGCAGCCAGCTTGTAAAAGCTCTGGAGATGCTGCAGAGCCATGGAGTGTGCTGGTGGAGGGGATGCAGTGCCCCCTCTGGCCCCCTGAGCCCCTCTGATCCCACTGCTCTTTGTCTCTCCACAGATTTTGACAGAGCTGAAGTCGGACAACCAAAGGCTGAAGGATGAGAACGGAGCCCTCATTCGTGTCATCAGCAAACTCTCCAAATAGGAATCCAGAGCAAAGGAGGGACAAGGAGGGGTGTCCTACACCAGCTGCCAACCCCCCACCGAGCCCTACCCCCTTCCTTCCCGTCACGTACAGCAAGTGTTTCAGCCATGGGATCAATGTCACACCTGCCTTGCCCTGCCCTTTGCTGTACATTCCCTTTCTACCCCTGTTTCCCCCCAACACACCCCCTGCCATTTTTTTTTTTTTAATTTATGCATGTTGTGGTATCTCGGACATTTTATTCAAGGGAGAAATGTGAGGACTGGGTTTGAGCTGCCAAAACTTCTTCCAAAAGCTCAGTATTTGGTTTTGGACTCTGACCTGGAGTGGGAAGCTCCTACTGTAAAAAGTGACATCTGAAGAACTAACCCAGCATATCCAAGGCCTTTACAGGTGGGAAATGTGAACATGGGCTGGGACTCTGAGGATGCACATCAGTCCACTGAGACGTGGGACTCTGGTTAAATGTGATGCTGTGAAAGCCACCAGAGCTCACGTTTGTCACAGGCTGATGAGCTGTTTTGCACAGACACCTTTTCCTCTTGCCCCAGTAGACTGAGTCTTCTATTTTAGATAAGATTTTGAACCTTTACAGAAACATCAGTGCTGACACTTGGTGTCAGACCCTTACCCCTCACCCTCCCTTTCCCCCACAGCCTGGGTGATCCTGTGTCACGTTGTGTCCTTCCAGGGCTCCTGTCTGTGGTTGGTAGCATACAGTTGCCACCTGGACACTTGTTCCTTGGGACAGGATATATCGCAGGCACTTGCTGAGCTTTGTGAAGGACAAACTTGAACCCCTACAGACCCTCTGCCGCTCTCATCTGTGTGTGAGCATCAGTCACCTTGCAGGGAGCTGTGCCAATGCCAGAAACCAGCCTCCCCTTCCCAAAAGCCATCTGGGACATTCTCCCACTGCCTCCCTGAAGGCAGAGCCCCATAGCAGAGCCTGGCTGGTATTTCAGGTACCCTCCCTTTGATTTGCAGTAGGATTTGTAGCCAGAAAATGCCAGCATCCTGTCCCACACACCTTGGAGAGGTCAGGGTGTGTCAGTGTCAGAGGGACAAGGAGCTGCTGGTAACTGAATCACCATGATTAAAGTCTTCTGACCTGTCAGAAACTTCTGATAAGCTTTGACCTTGAAGGAAACCCCCAGAAATACTCGTCTTCAATACACATGCACTCTAAACAGTTTGGAATTGTTCTCTCCCATGGGCATTTAGACATTGGCTCCTCTCAAACAGTACCTTCCCTCTCAGAGACATCCAGCTGCATCCAAAACATTCTCCCATCTACACCCTTCCATATTTGTCCTTTCATCCCCTTTGTCCTTCAACTCCCCATTCTCTCTCTGGCCAAGGACAGCAGTTCTTGGTCACTGAACCTGGAGGTGGCCATGGAGCAGCTCTACCATGTTCCTGAGCAGCTCTGCTGGCTCTGGCTGGGGGAACTCTCCATTCCCAGAGACATGAGATACTTGAACATGAGCAGAATACTTGAGCTTGCTCAGCAGGGTAAAACTTATCTCTATCAGGCAATCCTGGGCTTTTTTGAACCTTTTGCTGGTTATTGCCTCAGAAAGCATCTCTGTTTTCCTCTCTCTGGGGTTTTCTCTCTTTTTTTTCCCCCTGCCCTAATTCTCCATTTTCCCCCCTTCCCCTCCCTGTCCTGCCTGTTTCCACCTCTCTTGCTCTTCCTGGAGCTGCCAGGTCTCCCCAGGCAGCTCTGACCACAAGTTGCTCTTCAGCTGGTGGAGCCATTTGTGCAGCTGAGGCACCGTTTCTCCTGGTACTGAGGCCCTGCCTCTGCTGCTGAGCTTTGGGAGGAAGAGACCAAAGCTGGTAAAGGCATCAGGGTTTCTGCAGAGCACTGCCTAAGCCAGGCATCCTTTTTATATTCCTTGATTTTAACCCTGCTCTATTTAACAGCTTTAAGTCTTGAGATCCAGTCGATGCTTCCCCTGCACGCCGCTCCCTCTTGGTGCACTCTTTCTGTGAGTACTTCTGCCGTTCTTGATGTTTTCTCTCTTGGTGACCGCTCCTCGCTTCAGCCTCGGGCTCAGCTCTGCTCAGGAGGTCGGGGATCAGGAGCCCTGTCCCTTCTGTGCCGCGTGGAGGAGGGGACACTCCCCAGCTGGGCCACCCATCCCGGCAGGATGAGGAGGAGAGTTCAGAATCAAGACCCTGTCCTTCTCACGGGCAGGTTCCTGGCAGCAGGAAGAAGCCTGGTGTCTGTTTTAGGGAGAGGGTTCAACCCAATCTGACAAATCCATCCCGCACTGATGATTTGCCCCTTCTTACCAGGACACTCACTGCGCTTTCTCCCAAGGAGCAGAGTGGAAGGGCTGTGGGAGGCTCGTTCTGAGTGGCACCTTGCAAAGCCAAACCACTTTAGCTGAAGTGTCTGCTTAGCACTGGATTCTCTGAGCCTGGGCCCCCACAGCTCAGTGTCCCTGATCAGCCAAAGCCGTGAGCGTCTCGTGGTGGCGGCGCAGCTGCAAATCAAATTCTTGAGAATGGATTTTTTTTGTCTCACTTCTTGCCTGACATAACCAGTGCACTGAGGAGGTGACAAACAGGACACCTCAAACCCTGTGCTTGGCACAAGGTGCAGAGCAAATAGGTTTTTAAAATTCATCCCTCTTGGAACCAGAGCATTTGCCAGACGTGGTCTCCCTTGGGGAACATGAGCTTTTTTTTCTAAGCAATTGCTTGGGGTGAGTTAATTTTTATTGCTTGGGATGAACCCACCTGTTGTGGCTGCAAGTTTGGTGATGGCTCTATGTAAATAAACTCCTTGGAGAAGCAGGACTGGCTGATGAGATGGGGAGAGAATGTATTTTTATGCAACTTTTGAGTGGCCTTTCAAACCCTGAGATGAATGATTTGTTTTACTGGTTGTTGTTATATAGTATTATAAGTATTATGTGTTTGAAAGTTTGGGAATAATATTCACAGCTATGATGCTTGTAAACACAACAGTATTTATAAATGAATAAAGTAAGAGTTGATAAAATAGAAGCATTGACTTTGCTTCCATCTTTCTGGAATTACAAGTTGTCTGTGCTAAAATTCCTTTTCTCCCAAAATCCTCATGGCATAACAATATCCATCATCCATAAAAGCACAAAAGTTTTGCACCTACAACACAGGTACCTTTTTAGGGGAAGCTGAAATGAAGGAACTGGGATGGACATCCCTGAAAAGCACCCATCAGTGGGAAGATAAAACAGGACAGGGTGCCATCTTCCTCAGCACCACACTGGGGATCAGGCCCATTTCCCACTCTGGTTGCAAGCCCTGTTTTTGCTCTGCTCAGAAGTTTGTCAGCACAAAATGTGGCACAGGCAGGAGATGGTGTCACATCTGGGAACCTCTGTCTCGGGTGAGGCTGCTGGAACCTCCACATGCTGCAGTCTTCGGAGGTGGTTGGTGCAGGTTGAGTTCTTCCCTTAGGGTTGGTGGAGCAGGATGTGACTGTGAACCAGACTCTGTGCTGGGGTGAAGAATTCTGTGGGGACCTTTGGTATTTCCCACCTGTGCCCCAGGTCTGGTCCAGCCTTGCTCATCTGGGGTTCAAGGCTGCCCAGAGCACAAGTCAGAAAGAGCTGAGGGCCTCAGCCTGGAGAAAAGGAGGCTCAGGGGGACCTTGTGGCTCTGCACAACTCCTGACAGGAGGGGACAGCTGGGTGATGTCAGGCTCTGCTCCCTGGGAACAGGGACAGGACAAGACGAAATTGCCTCAAGTTAGGGAGGTTTAGGTTGGAGACTGGGGAGAAGTTCTTTCCTGAAGAGGTTGTCAGGCAGTGGCAGAACCGCCCAGGGCAGCAGTGAAGTTGCCATCTCTGGAAGTGTTCAAATGGTGTGTGAATGTGACACCTGGGACATGATTCAGTGGTAAACGTGGCAGTGCTGGGTCAGCAGTTGAACTCCATGATCTTAGAGCACCTTTCCAACCTAAGTGATTTCATGATTCCGTGTTTTGGGGAACCTGGGCCCTTGTGGGGTTCCACCCACACTTCCATCCCTCCATCATCCCTGGGCTCACTGCCCTGGCTCTTGCCCCTCACCACGGATGCCCCGTGAGCCCCAGCAGCAAGACCAGAAGGGAATCAGCTCCTTTCAGCTCATTTCTTTAATAAGGAGACGTAAATCATTACAAAATAACCATCAAACAATCAGAGACGGAACGACAGAGTCCACACGAGGGGAAGGGGCATTAAAAGCAGCTTCCGCCGGAGCCGAGCGCTGCGGGGCTGGGACGGTCCGAGCGGGGCCGGCACTGCGGGGCCGAGAGTGGCCGAGCCTGCGACTCCCAAAGGAGCTGGCTCCTCTGTCCCAGATCGGGAGAAAAAAGGAAAGGAACCCGAGCCTGTTGCCAAGGCTCGTGGATTCACTTCCTTTTTTAACCCGGGGAGCATCTCCATGGCACAGCTGGGTTTGCTCCACGGTGCCACCAGGAGAGGGAAGTGCCAGCTCTCGTCCCCAAAACAGAAACCACCGATCGGACATGGCAGAAATAACCCAAATTGCTCCAAAAAGCCTTTTCACCACCAGCAGGTCGATCCCATCTGTGCCCAGCGTTGTCCCGTCCCCTCGCCCGGCGTGACAGCGGCACCCAAGGCCAGCAGGGCGGTGGCCACTGAGGCTCCTGGCAGCCTGAGCCCCACGAAACCGGGGGGACGTGGACACATGGGGGGAAGGGGTCACGGCTCACCGTGGGCCTGTCCCTGGGGGGTCCCGGTGCACCGTGCTCTAATATGGCTTCTAAAGTTGCTCTGACGGTGAGATGCACCAACGCGACACAGGACACCGAAGCCACGATGTAGCTGCTACCCGGCCATGGGACAAACGCGACAAGACACAGGAACACGACACACATGGACACCACGGCCGCGTCGGTGAGAGCTCACTCTCCGCTGGCGGGTCGGGCTTGGCATGCTTTGCTTCTTGGCATTATTTTCTTTTATATGATTAATTGGGGATTTTCATTTTAACTGGGGGGGGAAAAATCAGGGCGGTGGAGAGCTCTCGAGCGATGGGTTTTGGTAGTGGCCGCCTCCTCCCTGGCGGGAGGCCGGAGATGGGGACGGCGGCGCTGGGAGGGTGGCAGCCGCCGGGCTGGGGCCATGCTGCTACTGCTACGTGGCTGCGTCACATGCACTGCTCGTGGTATATACAGCTATGTCTCCATATAATTCACCTACACACAGCTAAGGGGCGGGTCAGAGGCAGCGCAGATGGCTTCAGGATGTTGGTTGGTTTTCCCTTTTTTATTAAAAAAAAAAAATTAAATCATGTATTAAAGTCACAGTCTTCCCCCTCCAAGGCTTGAAGAGTCTGAATGGAAAGCAGCCAGGGTGGATCAGCACTCCTGGCCTGGATCCCCGGACCCCGGCCGATGCGGTGGGTCTGGGGGCAGAGGGGTGGAGGGGAGCACACAGGAGGGGGTGCATCTGGGGTGTGCAGGTGTGATGTGCAGGTGTGCAGATGTGCAGGTGTGCAGGTGTGCAGGTGTACACGTGTGTACCTGCTTCCCTGGGAAGGCTGCGGGGCCATGCACACTCGCTGGCTGCAAACAGTAGAATTTCAGTGCTTTTTCTAATTCCTCTTCTTTTAACCCATTCCATGTAAGGCAAATGCCCCCATACACCCCACACCCCCTGCCCCAGACACCTGGATGGACCCCAAAATGAGACTGAGTCCTAGCAGTGCTCCTGACCATGGGGCATCGGCCCCCCTCCAGCTCCCCATTATTAAAAGCAAACAAAGACTTCTTCTCCCTTTGGCTACAGGGGCAGGGCAGGACCCCTTCTGTTGATACTGACACATTCATTAGGAAAAGGGACTAATTAAAGCTGGAGATGGCCCTGAGAGACCACTGGCTGGATGACCCCTGCAGACCCAGCGTGGCCCCGGTGCCACCTTCACCAGGGCATGGGCCAAGTGCAGCCGCAGTGGTGGTGGAGGTGCTCGTTAGAGGTCCCTGTCCAACATCCCCTTCCCACACTGCAGCTCGGCCATCCGAGCCCCAAACCTCCCACGGATGGAGATGTCCTGCCCTGGGCACCTGTCCCAGAGCTGCACAGCCCTCCAGGGACAGGGGCTGGTCCCCATGTCCATTTGAACCCCCTGAGCCAAGTTTCAAACCCAGTGACTGCCACCAAGTTTCCCATCATCTCCCCACCTCTGGAGAGGGCCAGGATGCCCTTCAGGAAGTCAGAGCTGCGGGAGCTGCTAAAGCATCCCACAGCACTGGGATGAGCTCAGTTTTGGCACTGTGTCCCTGGACCCGGTCCCAGCCCAGAGCAGTGTCCCCAGTGCCAGCACATCCCTGGGGCTCAACCCTTCACTGCTGCAGTGCTGGAACCCCCACACTGAGTCCAGGGAAGCCAAAGGGAGCAGAGACAAAGTGAGGCTGCTGTGGAGCTGGAGCTGGGACAGGGACATGAGCTAACATCAGTGCTCCAGTACAGACTGGACTGAACTGGGCAGGGCTGCTGGACCCTCTCCCAGCTGCAGAGAGCTGTGTTGGCTTTCTGGCTCAAGGGCTTTTCTGGGACAGTGGGAGAAGTAGCCTAGAGAAGCTCTTAGCCACTGTCAGGGTCGTGGATATGGCTTATACCCCAAGGGGAGCAGGATGGGGTGGGTTTAACAGCCAATGGCCTGGTGGGGAGTAACAGCTCATGGGGGTCAGGGGCTTTGGTCCCTTGTTGGCCCCAGGCCCCAGGCTTGCTCTTGCCATCCCCACCTGCAGCAGGTGGTGGGGCTGGAGCTCCCCATGGCCCCCTGGCTGTCCTGAGGCTGAGGCACCCACAGCAATGATGGGACATGCGATGGACAGTCTCTGGGGACACACCTGGTTCAGCTCTGGGGGGTTGCCCCCATCACATCTGGAGACCTCTCATTGTAAACCTGCCTCGTGGAAGCATTTTGATCTATGGGATTCACCAAGCATGGTGGGACACAGGTGCAAATCACCCAGCGCTGCCCCTCTGGGGACAAAACAGAGGTTGTGGTGCTGCTGCTGCTGGTGATCCACACAGTGCTGCTGGTGCATCCACATTTCCCCCTGTGTCTCCATGGAGCAGCCCTCCTGAGGATCGTTGTGCCCAGACTGGCCTCCACAGCTCCTGCTGCAACACTGAGGGCTTGGCACCCCACCACCCCAGCAGGATCCATGGCCCCTGCAAGCCTCTCCTCAGAGAACCCAAACCTGGAGCTGGCCAGGGGCACTCAGCCTTCCTTGGGGAGGGCCAGGGGGAGGCACCCAGGTCTCTTCAGAGGGTGTTCTGCACCATTTTTCTGACTCAGTGCTGGTCATGCCCCAACCAAGCACAGTGGGTCTGGTCATCTCGCACCATCAGCCTCCAGTATCACCTCCACGCAACGTTCCACAGTTCCCCACGTGATCCCAAGGGCAGGATGGTGGCAGGAATGCTGCAGGCTGGTGACACAGCTGCTGGGGAAGGTCCCAGGTGTGCTGCTGGCTTTGCACTGGGAAGGGATGGCGAGCAGAGGCAATGGGACATGCAGCAGAAGGGAGCGATGCTGAAGAACAAAAAGAACCATCCATGTCTTTAACCTCTTCCCCTGGAAGCTATTGGGACTGCCTGGATACCCTTCCAGAGGCATCGAAGGGCATTTCAGCTTAGAACAAAAACCAAAAGGAAGGTTGCAGAACTGAGGTATCAGTAGCTCTGGGTCAAGTGTCCGCAGCGCCGCGCCGGCCGGCAGAGCTGCCTATTTGTTCTTGCCGAGAGCTGCATCTACTTCCTCCTCTGGCTTCAGCGAGTGCCACTGGGCGATGGGCCGCCGCGGGTTGGCCAGCATGTCGGACCAGTGCCGCAGCTCCGTGCCCGTGGAGTTCAAGCCCGTGAAGATCTTGCCAATGGCTTCGTTCTTCCCCAGCTTGTCGTAGTCCAGCACTGTGATGACCACTTGCACTTTCTAAAGGAGGAAACTTTTTTTTAGAGGGGTGGGAAGGTGCAGTGGCCATGACAGCTCCACAGGCCCAGGGT